GTATATTACAAATAAGAGTTTTCAGTTAAGCGTAAGGTGTTTATAAGCATCCCTCTATGGCTCGAAGGTGACTCAGAGCTCAGGGTTGGTTTTTTTTCTTTTTATAGCCCCATAACACATTTAAGTGAATACCATCCAGTGCTAAACCTTCATCCTCAATCTTGTGTTTTTGCCATCAACACATCCTGCCTCAGAAGTCTACAATCTGCTTTATACCAGGGAATATTTTCAAAGGTGGCTTAGCTGTCCTTGATTTGTTAGGTGCATGCTGAGTGGTAGGTGCCAAGAAGACAGAGATGATCCAGTTTAACTGAGGGGCAGAGATGCAGGAAAGTGCTATAGGACTGGGCGTGAAGAGTCTGTACAGGGATCCCTAGTCAGGGATCAAGAAAAGAATCACAAAGCTATGAGCTGAATCTTGGGGGGTCAAGTTGAGAATGCACCAGAGACAAAGGGAGAGAGGCATTCTAGGCAATGGTATAAGCAAATGAGAAGAAACGGGTATTAAGAGCTGTATGGGATACACTTTAGTGTTGCTGAAGTGGGTTAGGGTTGTAGGAAATGAGGCTAGGGAAGTGGTCAGGGGCCTGATTATGAAGGGACCATGAAATTGGGGGTACAGCATGTTAGGAGAGATTACTCTGGAAGCTGATATACATAGTGGATTAAAGCAGTGGTTCTTAATGTCTCTTGAGTCATAGCCTTCTTTAAGAACCTGAAAAAAAAAAAGCTACTGGCCCTTTCATTGGGCAAAGGTACATAATGCTTAAACATGAAATGTTGCTTATAATTTCCCAGTTAGGCATAAGACAGGGGAGCAACTACAATAATCCAGGTGAGACATGAAGAGGCCTGAGCTAAACCACAGCAGCTCGGACAAAAAGGAGACAGATATGAGAAACAGAAAGCTGGCTGAGTATTATCAACAGATCTTGTCACGAGCGGGATTTCAGAAATGAGGGAAAGCCCTGAGTCTAGGAGAACTCCCAGGTTGGTTTGTGATTTCGACCACTGAGTGGAAGGTGGTGGTGCTCACGGAGAGGAGGAGGCTTCAGAAAAGAAGACAGGTTCAGTCTGGGAAATGTCAAGTCAAAAGTGCCTTTAGAACATCCACATAAAAAAGTTCAGTAGGAAGCTAAATATACCCTTCCTTTTGATGATTCTTGTCGTGTTTCTCTTGCCCTGATATTCACCTACAAACAGGCTCCTAAATCTCTGTGCAACATTTTCTGAATTGAGATAACCCCCACTTGCAGAAAGGGATCCAGGAATGGGAGAAGAAATTAAACTTCACACACCCAAAATTATTTCACATTTTTTTACTAAAAGAATAGACTTTTATTAAGCACTGTAAGTTTCTTTCCATCAGCATTAACAGAACAACAGACCAATTTCCATCACAGAACAACTCCTGAGACATTTTCATTCCTTTCTGAAACACTTCCAGAAATTCCTGCAGTTTCCCCTAAGAAGCATCCATTCAAACTTACATTAATAAACTATGGAGCTTTTGTGGTGAGGTGGGCCAAAAAGGCAGGGAATTTGGAATCTGGGAGTGGGAAAGAGAAATACGTATTATCCATCCACTAAACACACTGTCAAGAGCACAGGAGAAGAGATATTAACACAGGAAAAAACAATGAAAGAATTTACTTTGTCAATAACATCATTTATCAGGGAGCACTAAAAATCATTGACTCCTTGCAGTTAAAGTTTCTTTAACCTAGTATGTTATTCTAAAAATAGAAGAGAATAGAATAAAATAAAAGGAGGGGAAGTGTCTTGGGGGGAAGTAACTAATATGAAATTATCAGATTTGGCAGGGTTATGAGAGATTAATCTGAAATATTTAATTTGCTTCATTTACATGAAAATTCACTAGTCATTAGTTACTACCAACACAGACAAAAAGAGCTATAAAAGTACAACGGCAATGTCAAAAGCTGAAATGGGCACCGTAGCACAGGGGGTATTTTATTTTGCTTTTAACTTGGAAAAGATGATTTTGTAAAAAAAAAAAAAAAAGAAAAAAATGAAGTTATCTTCTGAGAACATCAAAACAACCTTTGACAATATTGAAGGTAATCAGCAATAATAAGGGAATAAGTGCACTGAGCTCTACCTGCCCCAGCAGACTACTGCAATAAAGCCAAGGGAAAGAGAATAGAAAGTCAAATTAAAGATGCCAAAGTCACGAGAGGGAGAAAAATATAGAGTGACATACCATGGAACAGTGAAAACTTACCCTCTGCCCCAAAACCCCAAGCATATTTAGGAAATATGCAACAGGAAGTGAACAAGTATAACGATTAAACCTTAGTAGAAGTCTACTAGCTACTTTAAACTGTGGTCTACTTGTATTGTCATTTCAAAGGAGAGGGGGTCTTAGAGACTGAAAGGGTATCACTGACATGCCCACATGAGCCAAGGTTCCAACAGACTGGATCACTATAACCAAACAGTTACTTCCACATTCTCCCTACCCTACGTAAGCATTTCTCCCCCCACCCCCCACCCCTCCGCCTTAACCACCCTCCCTAATGCCTTGTCTGGCTGTTTTTCCTCTGTGATCAAAAGAAGCTAATGTGACTTGGACAATCAATAATGCCAGAAAATCAGGATGGAGACTAAAATCAAATGTCATTGGCAGTGCCAGTGCCATTTCTTGGGCTTTAAAGTCTACCCAAAGTCCTCCTGGCTCAGAATGAAAATGATGCAAGTGAGCAAAAGTTTGTTGGGCCACTGAATAAGGATGGGAGTTATAGGCTGACCCCAAGACATACCAGCAGAAATCAAGAACTGCAGGTCCTTGGGAATCAGTGGCTATATACAACCAGGGTGCTTTTGCCTGTGGCCCTACAAGGTCAAGGGGTCATTTCTGGGGGTACCTGTATGACTTTGTTCAAGAGAAGCCACACACATCATAGTAAGAAATGGTACCTCAAGTAGAGGATGACAGTCTCTTCAAGTGGTACTCGCAGCAAAGAACAGACCCACTTTCCCCAATTTGTCCTCAGATAAGAAAAAGTTCATCTTTCAGTAATGAACCTGAGCTTTTCTGGCTTTTAAGCTGCGTATTTTGGCAGAAAATTTAAATTCAGGCATGTGGCCCTTTTTGGTTCTTTCTTATAACCTTCCAAACCCTGAAGTCCAAATAAAAATCAAGGTTGGAAGCAAGCCACTTACTTTACCCTGGGCCAGGCTAGCAGAAAGCAGAGGTGTGTAAGGGAGAGAAGCAAGCCTTTTGGCAAACTGAAATCATCCCTGTCAAAGCAGCAATTTTACTTCTCATAGTGAATGCCTACAAAATAAGAAATTTTCTTAAGGTTGTGAGATTTAACAATACTGTCACTTGATTGTGTCAAATAGATTCAAGATGCACAGAAACAGCAACTGAAGAAAATACCTTTCCATAGAACTCCAAGTACTTCCTATTAGAAAATGGTGCCTACATACTTAATTTAATTCAGCTCAGTAATTCTAGTCATTTTTAGAGCTTTGAGGATTCCTCCATCTGTGGCTCCAGAAACTTCCAAGCCACCTAAGCTCATTACCAAATTCCGATTTTGCTGGACACAATCATCCTACCCTTCAAGATTTTTGTGAAAGGCTGGGCAGGTCCATGAGAAGAGGAGGGCCCAAATTAAGGGAGCAAATTCCAAAGAGGATGTCTCTGTACACTTTGTTCCTGGATATATCTTGCTAGGTGTGCACTCTTGTCATCTTGCTTTGGTTTATGTAAGAAGTATCTGGGCAGGGGGAGAGGAATTCTAGGGCACCCTCCCCCTACAAGCTGTGGGTTCTTTTAAACTGGGCCAGACTAGGATTAAACAGTCTGAGACTGTTTCCAGTCTCTTATGATGCACTCATTATAAGTGGGCAGTGAGCAAACAGCCTTGTGGTTGTCTGGAAAAAAATCACCAAGGACCTACTGTGGGTTAACGTGCATGGGGTTTTTCAAAAAGAGAAAGAAACCCTGCTAGAAGTCTAGTCAGTTGAATTCCTGTAGAAATGGTACTTCTTGGGCAAGAATATCACAAAGCCCAAAAGGAGATGTGTAAGGCTGGAAGCCTCAGTTCCTGAATGAAGACACAATGCTAATCTGTTGTAAGCCATGTTCCCTTCCCTCATACCAAAGCTGCTGAGGAGGGAAACTGGAAATGCAAGGTTGTCTCAAGAGTATCTTCCACAAGGAAGAACAACTTTTTTTGTCCTGGACAGATTCTGGCCTCTTCAAGGGCTGGGAGCTTTCCAGAATGCCCCTAAAGGCCTGGGCCAGAGTCCTCTGAAGTCTTCCTTGCAAAGCAAACGAAAAGATCCAGTAGTCAAAACATCAATGAACAAATAAAACAATCTAGGCATGTAAAATCAAAGTGTCGATTTCCTCACACTTCCCTACCCATCTTTCCAATACTAGTCCTCTCTCCTTCAAGGATTCATGGCAATCAATTCTAGCCTGAGGCCAGTTTGACCCAGGAGTTCCAGATGAGGTTTCCTCCAAATTGGCTGCAAGCCCTGGTAATCACCTCCCATCCCCTTTCTCTCTCTGAACGTGGCTATTCTGGCCGAAGGAAAGGCTCAAATCTTCCCCAAAGCCATTCCAACCTCCCTGCACTCACTCTATGGGATGTGAGGGCTCTGTTCAAGATTAAACTTGTGACAACCCAACTGTTTGTTGTTCTGAGCAGGCAATCTCTGGAAAGTACTTTTTGTCTGCTTTAGAGAAGCCCACCTTCTCATAATTGATGGGCTGTGACTCAGTAAGGATTTTTAAGTGTGGTCTTTTGAAACCCACCACTCCCTAGCAGTGGAAGCATTTCTGGGAAATTCAGTAAATCCTCTGAGACATCACCATGTATGTAATGTATGTGTGCATGTGTGTACACACACACACATATATTTATATATATAAAATATGTATAGATAAATAGATCTGTCTCTTTTATATAAAGGGTATGTGTATGCATATAGATACACACATTCATATATACATCCACCCACACACCCACACACACACACACACACACACACACACACATGCACTGTCTTTTCAGTTCCCTTTTGTACTCAGTTTTAATACATTGATTCCCACCCTCTTAGGGTGTGGGCAGCAGGGAGTGGGTGAACTGCACCACATCTTCTATTTTACAAACAATGCATTAGTTCAGAGGCAGGAAAAATCTGCCCAGTACTTTTCCGACTCACTAGAATCCCCCAGTACAAAGGCCATTGGTAGTTTTTTTTTTAAGTGTATAAAATAAAATAAAAAATAAAATAAAATAAAATAACCAATACTATTTCACTTCCCTGAAAACATTTACCTATCTGATTGTCAGGCCAGAGTTAGAGGCAGTGGTACAAAATCCTGGGTTAGGTGGATGGGGAGAAAGAGTGAGAGGAGGGTACGGATTATATACCAAGATCCCACTACTTCACAGAGGAAAATACAAGTTAGGAGGCCACAGATGGCAGTCCCTACCCCTACCATCCATGGGTTTTGTAAATGAGTAATGTGACGAAGACTCAGAAAACCAAAGCTGGAACTTTTCTATAGGGCCTTACGTGATGACACCAGATTTCTGACAGACACCGCCTTGCTACACTCCCAGGGGAGGCAAAGAGAATATTGGCACTTCATATTCGATTTGAGAATAGGAGCTAGTGCTGCGGCCATTCATCTCTGGCCAGAGCTTCCCCAGAAGCCGACCACTAAGTCTGGAGATCCAGAAAAAGACAGGGAATGGAAAAAGATGAATACAATAGGACATCCCAATAAAATCCTGGGTAAATCTAGGGTAAGCATTCATGTCCTCCTCTAACTTGGGCCTACAATCAGAAAAGTATAGGTTTTCCTCTCTTCCTGATCTGCTGAAGCCATCTTCTGCTCATTACCCTTCCTTCTGCTGTGCCACAGTTCCTAGCTTTTGCTCTTGCAAGCGGCTCTTCTCCCCATTCTTCGCAGGGAAGTACCGGTTACCATTATTACACATGTTGTTGTCTCTGGGTAAGGCACACTGGGATGAAGCTGGAAGGTGATGATCACTCTTCTCTTCTTTGATTGATGTGCCACTGTTTCCATTTACCTGTGAGTGGGACCGACCCTGATGAGGCTCCAGGGATTTAGAAACTCCATCAGAAGTGCCCTGTCAAACCGTAACAGACTCTTAATCTCACAAAACAAACTGAGGGTTGCCGGGGGAGGGGGATAGGGAGAAGGTGGTTGGGTTATGGACATTGGGGAAGGTATGTGCTATGATGAGAGCTGTGAAGTATAAACCTGGTGATTCACAGACCTGTATCCCTGGGGCTAATAATACATTACATGTTAATAAAAAAATTTAAAAAATTATAAAAAAAAATTCTCGGAAGCCAAGCATTCAGCTCCGCAAGGACTCCCAAGACCATGATTTGTTGTCAAGGCAGCAGAGCCCAAGAGATTGGCTTTGATACCTGACACACCTGACATTTGACAATATTAGAGATAATAAAAATGTCTGCTGATATAAAAGTATTTAAGGTTAACATCCAAGAAAATAAAATAATTCCCCCATGGGGGGGGGGGAAGAAGTGCCCTGTCAAAGACGGAGAGAGTCAGTGCAATTGGTAATTACCCACACTGGCTGACACTTCCCAAACATGTTCCTAAGCTAGCCTCCAGAAGCTGCTTCAGTTCTTCAAAGCTTGCTACCACCTAATTGTACATCCCGATGACTGTCCTGAGAACTTAGGGTGACAACAGATGGATTTGACTGAAACTCAATGGCCATGACAACCACGCAATAATGACACAGCTGTCATTTATAAAGCTTTACGATATCTTTTTCTAATACTAGTAGGAACCCTAAATGGTAGATATGATGCCCCATTTACAGATGAGGAAGCTGAGGCTGAGAAAGACCAAAGTAACTTGCTCAAGGACACTCAGATAGAAAGCAGTGGGGCCAGGATTCCATGCCAGGTGGGTCAGCCTCTAAAGTCTGTTCCCTTTAGCTGCTGCACAATACTGTCCTGTCCAATGCTGAGAACTGGACATGTAAATGAAAGGAAAGGAGAACCAGAAGATCTCTGTGTACCACTCCACAGAATCTTTCCTAACTAAAAACTGCCACCTATTTTTCTGATAATTCCTGGGACGTGACTGTTATTATAATGCTAAAGACATGAACTGCATTAGCTTGCAATGCAGGGCTGTCTCTCCATGAGGAATTTATTTAGGAAAATAGCAGCTTCCGATTGCTAAGTTGTTGGGCATGCCAGATACTCTCTTGTCCAATTTATGGATAAGACAAATGAGGCTCAGAAAAATAAAATGATTTGCCCAAGGTCAATGGCATGCCTAGACTTGCATTCAAGTCTATTTGACTCCAAAGACCTCATTCTTTCCATTAAGATACAATACATAATGCAAATCTTTTCTTTTTAATTTTTGTAAAGATTTATGTATTTATTTACTTAAAATTCAATTCAATTGTAATGGAAACCTAATACCTGTTGAATCTGTGGTCAATTATAAATTTTTACTGAGTACCTCCCATGTTACAGGCTCTGTGAAAACCTCTTTATATCTATCATCTCATGTGGTGCTCATAATAACTCTGTGAGGTAGATGCCAATTTCTCCATTTTACAGATGAGGAAACTAGGCCACAGAGAAGTTAAGTAACTTGTATAAGGTCACAGAACTAGTAAGTGGCAGAGCCAGATTCAAAGTGAGATCCTTTGGCTCCAAAACCTGTACAACATGGGCACTACTGTAAAATGTTGTTCAAGAACCTGGAAAAAAGATGAAACAAGTAAAAATCTGCACAATGGATGGAATTAGCCACCTGAGGGAGTTAACAAAGATATCAAAACATTACCAATAAGTGACTTAAGAATCTGAAAATACACAATACTCCAGTGGCCTAAGAATAATCTCAAGAGGACAGGACTATAGGGGCAGCTGGCTGGCTCAGTTGGTGGAGCATGTGACTCTTGATTTTGGGGTTGTGAATCCAAGCCCCATGTTGGGTGCAGAGATCACTAAAAAAAATTTAAAAAGACTTGAGAAAAATAAAGAACACAGGACTATAATGTAAGCAGATTAAATAAGCTGGAACAATGATCTCATACTTTGAAGAAAGGGTGACTGAATAGAAAAAGGAGAGTCATCATGGCCATCAGCAGCACCTCTGTGCAGGAACCATGCCTCAGTTAAAAACAAAGTTAACATGAGAATTTCCTTGGCCAGGCTACCTCTGGATTAGGTAACAGTATCCCCAGTAATCTTCACAAAGAGAAACTTAAGATCATCTACCATCCCTACTTTTTCCCTTAGTTTCTTCAACTGTAAAATATAATAATAGTATCTGTTTTCTAAATTCCTATAAGGATTCAATGAGACACTCTATGTAAAGCACTTAGAACATGTTGTGCCTGGCACACTGTACAAACTCAATAAATGCTAGCTAATACTATTGTTTGATTCCAAGTCTCCTAGCAAACTTCCGATACCATGGATTCCCTTGCAGCTTACACTTAAAGAAAGCAAGCTCTGGTAGAAATGGTTAAGAGCATATGCACTAGGGTCAGCCAGACCTAAGTCTGAATCTTGTCTCTACCAATCAGAGTTGTTATACTGCAGGGGAATCAGGACAGCAACAGGCTTTGGAATCAGCTCAGGCTGGAAGGGCAACACTGATATTGACTTGATGGATAATTTGGGGCAAGATGTTTCATCCCTCTGAGCCTCAGTTTCAAATGGAGAATAATAAACACCTCACAAGTTTTTATAAGAGTGACCAGAAAAGAGTAACTGTACAATATATCACAATACTTACTGCAGAAAGTACTTGATTGAGATAAAGTGCTGTAAATTCACACCTTTCACAAGATCTTTCACAGATCTTTCAGTATCTTTCACTCCCTCCCTTCTCCCCAGTGCCACTCTTTCAGTCATATCCACATAGCTATTTCTGTGATCTTAGTTAATGTGAGTCAACCCCTGAGAGAGAGAGAGAAATCAACTCTTACTGTACAAAAAAAAAAAAAAAAAATCAGGTTTTTCAGACCGTATACCTAATGATCAGACCCTGAATCATGGTTAGTTAATCAAGGCTGTATTACCTTATGGGAGCCTATCTGAGTGACCAATTTTCCTTCTAGGTATAATCCCTTATATCTTACTGAACAGCTTCTGGAAAAAGTTGAGCAGCTCTAGAAAAATCTCAAAGTTCTTGCTCTCTGAGTTGTGTGAAGGACTTACCATTCTAGTTCCATTTTTAGCTCAAAATAACATTAAAGCAAATACGTATCTTTGAGAAAGCATTAGACAATGGGGATTAACTGGATGCAGTGAGGGCTGGCTGTATACAGGAGAGCTAATTCAGGACTGAGAACCTATGTCAAAGCTGCTTTGCAATATGGTCTCATCAGTGACCCTTGGGAGGATTAGAAACTGCATGTAAAATGTCTAGTAGAGGGCTTGGTAGAAAGGGGGCATTCAAGAAACAATAGCTCCTAGGGCGCCTGCGTGGCTCAGTCAGTTAAGTGTCTGACTCTTGATTTCAGCTTAGGTCATGATCTCAGGGTTGTGAGGTCGAGCCCTGCAATGGGCTCCGCGTTGGACATGGAACCTGCTTAAGAATCTCTCTCTCCCGGGGCACCTGGGTGGCTCAGTGGGTTAAAGCCTCTGCCTTCGGCTCAGGTCATGATCTCAGGGTCCTGGGGTCGAGCCCCGAGTCGGGCTCTCTGCTCAGCGGGGAGCCTGCTTCCCTTCCTCTCTCTCTGCTTGCCTCTCTGCCTACTTGTAATCTCTGTCACATAAATAAATAAAATCTTTAAAAAAAAAAAAAGAATCTCTCTCTCCCTCTCCTCTCCCTTGGCCTCACCCCCACCCTGCTTATGAGCACTCTCTAAATAAATGAAAGAAAAGAAAGAAAGAAAAAGGAAGGAAGAAAGAAATGATAGCTGCTATACTAGGAGGAGCCCAGCAGGCTGAGTCCAGTACAAGATTCTGGTTCAATAAAGATTAGGTTCTTCATGTCTGGGGAGAGGGGTATGTCTAATGAAGACCAGTGGAAACTGATATAATTCAAGGTGTACCTTAGAGGAAAGTTTAAGACCATTTTGAGCCATTAAGAATAAACAAAATGGCAACATCTCCTTCCTTCTCATATTCAGCAAAGGCTGAAGTCCAATTTTCTAAGCATCTCTATTCAGAAAGCCCAAGTAGCTGGAAATCCCACTGTTAACTTCACTCTGGCCCTTTTGTGGCTGCATGTAGCACATACTATGGTAGGTACAGGCGTTCAGGACACAGGACCTGGTTTCTGTCCTGTGGTCTCATTCAGAGGAAAGAATGACACTCTGCAACATTGTGCGAACAGCCTGGGCAGGCTAACCCTCACTAGACCCTCACTAGAGCAAAAGAATGAACTCAAATGCTGGGAGAAGCCCCGAAAACACAGTTTTCCATGCCTGATCTGATCTTTTGCAAGTTAGGTGAAAAGACAAGAGGTATCAAACAGAAGCTAGATAACCGCAAAACAGGGCTTACTTGTTTGTTTCCTTTTTTATGTCCTTTGGATCCTCTACCAGTCTGTTCTTTTCCATGCCTGTAGAAAGTGAGGGGGAAAAGTGATCCTGAGGAACACACAGAGTCCATACCCACATTTTCACTTAGTTACCTACTCACCTCCTCTAGGAAGTTTGACTCCCTTAAGTTAGGTGCCCTTCCTCTGTGTTACCACTGTAAACCTTTATCTCTCTTATTTCTATATTATACTAAATCGTTCTGTGTCCCATGTCCTCCTCTAGGGCAAAAACTTTTTCATTGAGGCCGGGAATATAGTGTATGTTTGCTGAACTAAACTGAAAACTGGCTTTAAAAATGGAAAGTTAGTTAATGCCTCTTACCTTAATAGAAGTATTCAGTAGTTGGGCATTTTCCCAATGGCACCTTGATTGACATTAGGTCATATCAACCTACTGGAATACATACCCTTTTCCTGGCCCACCGACAGAAACAACTTGCATGCCAAAAGAGCCTCGGCCCCTGGAGGACCTACTACCAGCCCACTGGCCCACAACCATCCCAGCAATCTCCAGTTTTCCTCCTTGGGGTGGGATTGGATGGAGACCTGTAAAGATAGGAAGAAGGGCAGTAATGAATGCTAAATGCAAGGTAGGATAAGAGGTGGAACAAAAAATCCTACAGTGCCCCCTACTCTGCTTATTTCCATTTCTCTATGATAAAGACTCTGGGGACGCCTGGGTGGCTCAGTTGGTTAAGCGTCTGCCTTTGGCTCAGGTCATGATCCCAGGGTCCTGGGATCGAGCCCTGCATCGGGCTCCCTGCTCAGTGGGGAGTCTGCTTCTCCTTCTGCCTCTCCCATTCCTCCTGCTTGTGTTCCCTCTCTCGCTGTCTCTTTCTCAAAGATAGATAAATAAAATCTTTAAAAAAAAAAAGACTCTGTGATAACAACAAAGGTTCATGGTGGAAGTGAATTTAGGGACGGGGGTTGAAGATCTGTAGGACATCCACTTTGGCAAGCTGGGTGTGGACGACACATTTTTCAGCTACAGAGCCTGGCTGGCACAGAGTAGGCATGCAATATTTGTTGAAAGAATGAATGTCCTAAAATCTAGTTATTAGAAAATTATATGCCAAAACCACTTTTATTTTCCTTTTTTTTCTTTATTAAAGTTTAGTTGACACACAATGTTACATTAGTTTCAGGTGTACAACACAGGGATTTGTCAACTACGGAGTCACGCTCTGCTCACCGCAAGGGCAGCTACCATCTGTTGGCATACAATGCTATTACAATACCATTGACTAGATACGCTGTGCTTTTCATCCTGTGACTTATTCATTCCATAATTGGAAGCCTGTACCTCCCAGTCCCTTTCACCCATTCTGCCTAGCCCCCCACCTCCCTCCCCTGTGGCAACCATCAGTTTGTTCTCTAATTAAGAGTCTGATTCTGATTTTTGTTTGTTTATTCATTTGGGTCAAATGATTTTTCTTTTTCTTTTAAGTTTTATTCAAATTCTAGTTACTTAATATAAAGTGAACCCAAACCACTTTTGATTCAAATACATACCATGACAGTGGAGGCTTAGCCAAACAACCAAACTAAATAGAAAATAATGAAACTAAACTGAAAGCAATTTATAATTAATAAGCAAGAATAGCAACAGCTGAAAACCAGAACTAATTTAAGACAAGATAGCATATCTCCTTAAAACAGAAATTCCAACGCTGTATATACATATGAGCTCACCAGCACAGCAGAGCTTTGTAATCTGGCACAAAAGGAAGCCTTCACAGAATAATTTTAATTTTAGTTTATGGAAAAAACATGAATGTTAATAACCCTTTGCTCACTTAGCAGGTCAGCAGTAAAGAGCGCTTCATTCATATGATAGTGGGAGTCTAAGGAACTAGGGTACTAGCTAGTCCTAAGAAGGCTAGAAAGACTTGCATTTGGGGGATCTTATTGTGGCCTTTCAGGAGGCAAGAGGCTCCTCATGAACCACCAGTAACTGGAGACCAGGCATCACTGGGAGCTGGGACAATGTAAAGGACCTCCCGAGAACTTAACCTTAATTAAGGCTGTCTTCTGAGACACAATAAAATCAATGCACAAAAAATGAGAGCAAGGATCTCTAAAGTCAGTTTCAAGGAATGGAATGAATGAATGGCCAGCTCCCTGGTTTATAACACTTGTTCATTAGCTGATTGAACAGAGCAGACATTCACACTGCTCATCTAAGTAGAGCCTTGAACTAAATATGCATACTGAAATTTATGAGCCTAAATTGAAGACAAACTTAAACTTCGAGCTTTATTTTTTTTAAATGATAAGCAATAGACAACAAACATTTCCAACCACAGCAATGACACTCCCACCTGATCACAGAACCTTGATATTTCATGTCAAAATGTCCCTATTAAAATATTGTGTTTTGCCAAGGTTGTTTGAATTATTAGGCTCACTATCTGAGCTACCTAAGCATGACTGTCTATTCATCACTAAGCGACAGCTCAGTTGTCACCATAATTTATAGTTAGGTATGTCTGGGTATATGTGTGTGTATTTGTTTTCCCCACTAAACTGCAATCCCCTGGCGGGCACGGACTATAATTTATTTCTCTCTGTGCTTCTGGAAATGTGTCATCTACCCCCAGAGCAAAAATGGGTACATCAGGTATGGTTGTCTGTGGACACTGGTCATTTACTCTTACCTCCCATTTGGTCTTTCTGGAAGCTCCTATGTACATCTGCCTATGGAGAATGAGTGAGCTAACCGGCAACTATGGTGACCCAGTTCACTTGAGATATAGTTCTCAGAAGTAATAAAGTACCTCCTGGTTTCTACATCAGTTACTTTGTGAGTTTAGTTGGTGACAGTCAAATCCTCAGGGACCAACTACCTCTATGGAGCATGGTCTGGGAAGTCAGTGGACTTCCCAGGCTACATCTAGGCCACACCCCTGTCAATAAACTCCTCTTCAAACTACACAGCACAGCACAGAAGGTAAATTAGATAATACATATATAAAAAAACTGCTGATTCAGTATCTGGCAATAATTACTGGATAGACTACTATGAAACAGACTGAGGATGACAAATACCTCATTTTTAGGTACTGACCCGCAAATCCCCGGCTCCGTCCTTGAGGGGGAGGTGGCACTGAGCCCATGGCTCGGGAATAAAGTGAAACAGGATAGAGAGAGGGCACCATGGGAGGCACAAAAGTAGGTGATGGAAGTAGAGCAGAAGGTGGTGGATGGTTCATGTTGACTCCTTCAAGGATACTCTGTCTCATCTTTTCCACTTTGGTTGCCAGGTCAGCCTTCAAAGGAAGAACAGAATTAATAATAGCAACCACCATTTTTTAAAAAGATTTATTTATTTATTTTAGAGAGAGATGAGGTGGTGGGGAGGGGCAGAGGGAGACAGAGAGAAACCCACGCCAACTCCACACTTGAGCGCGGAGCCAGATGAGGGCTTGATCTCACAACCCTGAGATCACGACCTGAACCAAAGCCAAGAGTCAGATTAAACCAACTGTGCCACATAGGCACCCCCAAAGCTGCCATTTTTTAATTTCTATGTACTGGGCATTCTAGTTAGAGTTTCACGAATCCATTGCCATTAAGAGAACTGAGGCCTGGGCTAAATGGCTCAAGGAGCCATACGCAGGAAAACCTGCCTGGCACTTTTTACATGACACCAAATGATCATATTAGCTCTGACCAAGGGCTTGTTGAGGCACAGTGACTAGGTCAAGGAAGACAAATATAACCATAAATATTTACCGATGGTCTATCACACAACCAGAAATACGCTAGGTTATTTTTTAAGGGGAAGATAACAGAATTAGATGAATGAGAGAGAATAAAACCTGACATATGCCAAGCTTTTTAACCTTTTCCTCCATACCCAGGATCAGAGACCATGACCTCTGTCTAGGATTAGTCCATGCCTCTAGGCCAGAGGTCAGCAAACCAGTTCTGAAAAGGGCCAGATAGGATCTGCAGGCCAAACTGTCTCTGTCACAACTATACAACTCTGCTATTGTTGGGGGAAAGCAGTTGTAGACAATACATAAATGAATGAATGTGGCTGTGTTCCAGTAAAACTTGACTGGAATAAAAATTCCAAGTTTTGCATTTTGAGGTAGTTTGACGACTCCTGTTCTAGTCCCTCAGCTCATTCCACCCAAACAGATAAAGAAAGGGTGCCTTTCCTCATCTTTCCTAAGGTTTCACTGTAAAAAATCCCCTGCTTCTACTCTGTCATCTACTTTACCACCCTCTTCTAGTTCCAAACATAGTTCCTTTATAAAAGAGGGAGTTGGGGGAAATTGGAGGGGGAGATGAACCATGAGAGACTGTTGACTCTGAAAAACAATCTGAGGGTTTTGGAGGAGTTGGGGTTGGGAGGTTGGGTGAGCCTGGTGGTGCGTATTATGGAGGGCACGTATTGCATGGAGCACTGGGTGTGGTGCATAAACAATGAGTTCTGGGACACTGAAAAGAAATTAAAAAATAAATAAAAATTTAAAAAAAGATATCATCACTTGCAAAAGTATATAACAGGTTTTTTTTTTTGTATTTTGCAAATAAGGGAAATGAAATTCTAAGAATTTCAGGAAAGGCATATAGTGTATCTGAGTATTCCATGGGCAAGAAATATTCAGTAAGAAAATATTATGAAAATTTGAAGTTCATAAAAAATACTTTCCAACATACGATTTTAGAGCATGTACATATCAGACTCTGGGCATTTGGGCTGATCCTTGACCAAGTGCGATTAATGGCAGATACATTCTCCCACTTTTCCTACCTCCCCCTCTAATGTCTGTGCTCCCTTCCACCCTCTGCCAATTTATCCCCATGGCAGATCAGAGATGGCCCTTAGCAGCTGCCCAACTTGCTGGTACCTGGCCATCGCAGAGCTCAAGCAAGGATACTCGCTCTCGGCCCGCTTTAATTAACTTGCTCTGGAACAGCTTGCCATCGAAGTAAATCCAGGGGCAGCAGTGCTCCCATGGGACTGGCTGGCCACAGGCATCATTAGCAAACAGAGCTGTGTCGACCCCACTCATGAAGAGGGCAGCAAGCTGGATCCCTCGGGCATCCAGTTTCTCAATCTGAAACCACCACAGAGGAAAAACTACTATTAAAAACTTATTGTTATTGGTTACATTTACTCTTGTCCCCATTGTGTTGATTATTCTAGTTAAATTTGAACATGTTGGCTTTTAATTACAGACATCTGAGTTCACTAGTAGCTTCGATCCATGTCATTCCAGGAGAGTTTGAAAGACACTCATTACCCTCCCCCCCCCAAAAGACATCAACTTTAAAACTTTAAAAAGACACCACCTTGAGATACCTTTTTTTGGCCTGTCAAATTATGAAAAAATTTAAAAATTAAAGACAAAAAAGAACACCTGAAGCTGATGAGGAAACACCAAAAGGAAAGCTGTGAGCTCATAGAAGAAAGAATTTAAGTGAGGGAAGATCAAATCACCTTGAGTTCTTGAAGCTGATCGGGTTCATAAAGCTGGGTAGATACTGCCTGAGCAAGGAAAGTGTCAAGCTCATGGCGATGCAGGATTCGGCCACCAGGCCACTGAACCATGTACCTAGAAAATAAAAGCATCATTATTGAGCCACAAAAGCTCATTTGTTCATTTCATAAACATTTTTACTAAGCTAAGAACCTATCATGGACCAGACTCCAGGCTAGGTTCTGGCAATTCCAAAAGAATAAAGTAAAAGCATCTCTGCCTCTGGTTGCTTGCAGTCTGGGTGGTAGAGGAGATAGGCACATTCATCAACAATGACAGGAGAGTGTTAAGTACCAAGATAGAAGAATTTCCAGAGTGCTACACGAGCACAGAAGACAGCAAGGCTGGAAAAGTGAGAGAGGGCATCCTGAAAAAAAGTCAGTAGGAGCTGGGTTTCAAAGGGCCTGTGGAAATAAGTAAAACAAAAGGGGGAGAAAGGATGTCCTAGGTTGAGCAAATAGTACACGTGAAGGCACAGAGTTGTGGAGTTCAGGATGATACAGCAGGTTCCATAATGCTGGAGCTTAGCAGCTTTGCAGTGACAGAAGGCAGGATTAGAAAGTAGGCCAGACGGGGCGCCTGGGTGGCTCAGTGGGTGAAAGCCTCTGCCTTTGGCTCAGGTCATGATCTCAGGGTCCTGAGATCGAGCCCCGCATCAGGCTCTCTGCTCAGCGGGGAGCCTGCTTCCTCCTCTCTCTCTCTCTGCCTGCCTCTCTGCCTGCTTGTGATCTCTGTCTGTCAAATAAATAAATAAAATCTTTAAAAAAAAAAGAAAGTAGGCCAGACTATGGAAACCAGAATGGAGGTTCCTCAAATAATTAAGAATAGAACTACCATATAATTGAGCAATCCCACCTCTGGGAATATGTCCAGAAGAAATGAAAACTCTAACTCAAAAAGAAATATGCAACCTCCATGTTCACTGCAGCATTGTTTATAATAGCCAAGACATGGAAATTACCTAGGTGACCACTGATGGATGAGTGGATAAAGTAGTTGTGGTAATATATGCAAATATAACAGAATATTATTCGACCATAAAAAATGAAGAAATCCTACCATTAGCAATAATATGGAGGAAACTTGAAGGTGTTATGCTAAGTGAAATAAGTCAGACAGAGAAAGACAAATAGTGTATAATTTCACTTATATGTGAAATCTTAAAAATACTGAACTCCTAGAAAAAAAGATCAGAGTTGTGGTTACCAAAGGTGAGGGGATGCTGGGGGAAGGATGGGTTGAGGGAAGGTAGTCAGAAGGTACAAACTTCCAGTTATAAGATAAATGAGTACTAGAGATAAGGTACATGATGACTATAGCTAACACTGCTGTGTGGTATATAGGAAAGTTAAGACAGTAGCTCCTAAGAACTCTCATCAGCAAGAGGAATTTTTTCTTTTTCTTTGTATCTATAGGAGATGATGGATGTGAACTAAACCTATTGTGGTAATCATTTCACAATACATGTAAATGAAACCATCATGCTTGTACTCCTTAAACTTATACAGTGATGTGTATCAATTTTTTCTCAATAAAACTAAAAAAAAAAAAGGCGGGATCATGAAGTGTCTCAAAAAACAGAATTAAGGAATTTGGACCTTGGTTCTGAAAATGTAAGAAGACACTTAAGGATTATCAGCAGGACAGTGATAGTGACTGGCTCATAGGGCAAGAGACAAGAGGCATGGGTACCAGTTGGGAGGCAACTGTAGCAACCTGTGGCCGAAGAGTTATGAACAAAAGCACTGGCCCGGGGATGGAGAGGACCAGGGGACGAACACAAGAACATAAGGAGATAAATCCATAGGATTTGGTCACGCATGTTATGGAAAGGGGGTAAAGAAAAAAAGAGGAGTCTAAGATTCATAGAATTCTGGCTTGGGCAGATGGCTAGATGATGGGGCCATTCCCTAAGACAGGAAATTCACTAATTAAAAGCAGTAAGGACTCATTGATGAGTATTTGACCCGAACTTCATGAATTGAGTATGTTTTAATGTTCTAAGCACAGAAAATGCAGAAAGAGGAAGAGAAAGACGAAAAAAAAATACATCTATGTCTTTGTCCATAGCTTCCTGAAGACCCACAAGACAATGATGATTCACATTTATTGGAGCTGTGTGAGAAAGCTGGCATTTAAAGCAAAGGCTGGTCTCTTCTGAGTGGCACATGGAATGAATTCCTGGGGACTCTGATCCCATTACTACTACTAGGAGGCAGTATGGTGCCCTGGAAAGAGCCTGGGCTCTGCAGCCAGGCACCCCGCCTTTGAATCTCTAACCTGCTGTTTCCTCACCCAGAACGATCACAACAGCACAGATAGTCCTCCTGCCACTACTCTTTCTTCAAGCCCAACTGTCATTTCCCTGAACTCAAGGGTATTTCTGGGACTACAGGACATGCCAACAAGTTCTGTTGCTTCTTTACAAACGAAGTTCTAAATGACTGGGCTTTCCAGGAGGTATCCTCCTGGGCCACAAATAAAGAACAATTTCTACCATCTTCCCTGTCCACACATTCTCCCTTTAGAAAATGTATTTATAGCTTATAATCTAATCTTTAAAAAAAAGATTTTATTCATTTATGAGAAAGAGTGAGCACAAGGTCAGGGAGGAGCAGAGGAAGAGGGAGAAGCACACTCCCTGCTAAGCAGGGAGCCCAGCATGGGCCTTGATCCCAGGACCCTGGGATCATGACTTGAGCCTAAGGCAGATGCTTAACTGATTGAACCATGCAAGCACCCCTATTTTACACTTTTTGATGCTATATTATACAGTGCACACAATTCAGAGCTTTTATCTTCTCTCAATATAAAATACTTTCCTTTGTCAGTGTTTTGTTTTTTTTTTTTTTGCCTTGGGAACTATTTTATTTACTAATACCGTTTCTTTCTTTTGATTTATACTTCATTGATTTACCTTTGCCCATTCTTTTATTTTTAATCTTTCCATCTGATTTTGTTGGCAAAATGTGAAGCAAAAATAGAAGAAAATGAACAGAAATGCAATTATAGTGGGAGACTTTAGCATACTACCATTAAGCTTCAATATGTAAAATGCGCCTGAAATACATTTAAAATCACAGAAGATTTGAGCAATACAATAAATAAGGTTCAAATGCTTGGTTGATTTTGTACAAAGAAAACATATGTCTTTCAAGTGGCCATGTGAGATCTCATGAGATCTAGGACCTTGTCCGTTTGGCCTTGTCTATTGTCTTCTTTCTTATTCATATTTATTATATACTATATAACATAGTACATGGCATAGAGTAGGTATCGGTAAATATTTATTAGGGCACTGACTGAATGCATCAACCAGGTCATGGAAAAAAAAAAGCGCCAAACCAAAAAACCTCCACAAAAATCCTCCAAAGGCAAATTGTACCAGTCATATCCTGACTACTATGAAAGAAAAACTGACCTAAAGGAGCTCCTAAAGAAGTCAAGTGTGGGAAACAGGCAGGCTCACTGAAAGACAAATACAATGAGAGGGATGTGACTTTACAAGTTGAACAGGTTGTTTTGGGTGCTCTTAGGAAAGAGTGACTAAATTCACCCGGGAGAATCAGAGGCGGCCTCACAGAGAAGAGAACATTTAATTTCCTAAGGATGTGAGATTTTTGGTTGGCTTGGTTTATACTTGTTAACGTTAATTTGCATTTTTTCACATTTCTCTAACTCTAGCATGATGCATGGCAGAATGGATGTGCAAAAAATGTTTGCTGAGGGGGAGGAGTCAAGATGGCGGAGAAGTAGCAGGCTGAGAGGACATCAGGTAGCAAGAGATGAGCTAGATAGCTTATGAAACCATTCCAAACACCTACAAATCCAATAGGAGATCGAAGAGAAGAAGAGCAATAATTCTAGAGACAGAAAATCGACGACTTTCTGAAAGGTAGGTCCACCAGAGAAGTGAATCCAAAGCAATGGGAAGATAGACTGTGGGGAGAGGGGCCGGCTCCCAGCAAGCGGCAGAGCAACGGAGCACAAAATCAGAACATTTGAAAGTCCGTTCCACTGAGGGACATCGCTCCAGAGGCTAAACCGGGGTGAAGCCCACGAGGGGACAGCATGGCTTCAGGTCCCGTGGGGTCACAGAAGGATCGGGGGTGTCTGAGTGTTCCAGAGCTCGCAGGTATTAGAACAGGGAAGCTGGCTACAGAGACAGAGCCGAGGAGTGAGCTCTCAGCTCGGGGTCACCTTCAACCATAATCCATGGCAAAAGTCACTGCTCTGTGAGTGGGGTCCCCACAAGATCCAGGGAGAACCCCCCTGGAAGAGCTCAGGGATCTGCGGGGTTCGGAGACTCCAGGCGGAGCTGTGTGCCAGAGACAGAGATGCTTGGTCGCAGGCTGGGTGAGCTTGGAGCACAGCTGGAGGCCGGGAAGACAGGAGTGATTGAGCATTTTTCTCTGAGGGCACACTGAGGAGTGGGGGCCGGAGATCTTGGCTCCTCTGGGCCAGGGATTGGGAGGCCACCATTTTCATTCCTGTCCTCTGGAACTCTATGGAAAGGAAAGCGTTCAGGGAACAAAAGCTCCCAAAAGCGAACCCGAGGGGATTACTTAGCGAGGCCTGGTAAAGGAGGTGCAATTCTGCCTCGGGCAAAGGCACTTGAGAATCACTACAACAGGCCCCTCCCCCAGAAGATCAACAAGAAATTCAGCCAAGATCAAGTTCACTTACCAAGGAGAACAGCGGAATTCCAGAGGAGGAGAAAACAAAGCATGGAATTCATGGCTTTCTCCCCATGATGCTTTAGTCTTGCAAAGTTAATTAATATTTTTAATTTTATTTTTTTCTTCTGCTAAATTTTTTTAAACTATTACCCTTTCCTCTTTTAACGTTTTTTAACTAGTTTATCTTAACAATACCTTTCATTTAAAAAAAATCTTTTTTGAACCTTCATTATTATAGTCAGATTTTATCCTTCATTGTATCTAACTTTATTTTTTGTATACACATAGGGATTTTTCTTCTAAAAAATTTGGGGTACAACTTCTTCTAATAGATCAAAATACACCCTAAATCTAGGACCGGGCTTCTTCTAGTCTCCAGCCTGAGCAAATTCTCTC